TTTCTCCACAAAATGAATGATGATCCATCCCGTGATTTTCATCCTTTTCTTCCTACCGTATCATCCAACACACTTTTACCATTGTATTTTTGAGGATATAAATTATGAGATGAGAGAAAGATAGTATATAAAGAATGAAAAAATGATATCATCATGATATACTCTCAAAGGATCGAGGAGATGAAAGAAACTCAGTAATGAAATATCATCATGGATGATGTAATCAAATATCCGACCGACCAAATTTTCAACCTAGTTCTTTAGGAGAGATAGATGATCTGATCTCCTACGGCCGAAGAGAAGAGAGTCTGATAAACATTGTTTTCGTGATCTAGATACAAATATCATCTATCGAAGTCTTTACAGTATACAAAAATTATAGATCTCTCTCCATATACAGACATACTATACGATTTTAATCCTCAGCACTCACAATAAACAAGAAAAGTCCGAATTCCAGCTAATTAGTATCTATCAACAGCTGCTGAAATTCCACCCCACCACACCTCCGTCCGTACACCAAATAAATCCTTCCACATGGCATCAGCCAGCATCAGCATCAGCACTTTAAATCAGCACTTTAATCAATCAGTCACTCCCTTCTCCTTCTCCTTCTCCTTCGCCGTCCGCTTCCTTCCCTTCCTCCGCCTCGCACGGAATTGGAAACAACACATACCTACTCCGTGCATTATACCTGGTGTACCATAGATTATCATCTGAAATCTGAAACCCATGCTTCTTTCTATATTTTTGTAGGATTTTATGATTCTTATCTCCGTTCATAAAACTTTTCGTATTATTCTCCTTTTATTTTTCTTATTATTGGTAGGTACTAGTAGGTATCTCTTTTATTATTTCATTATTCATGTGTTTACTCTGTATAAATTTATTATCTCTATCTTCATCTATATCTTTATTCTATATCTATCTCCTCTTCAATCTTTCTTTCCCTCCCCTTCCCCCTTCCCTTCTCTCCATACACAGAATATAAAGAACTACCTATTTAAGATTATACCAGCTACCATTCGCCCGCTTTCCTCCGTAACACATCAATTATACCTATTAGTTATTTACATACCTATTTATACCTACCTAGTATATACATTTACATACCTATATATACTCCAACAATCAAAAATACATCAACTCAGCCTCAGCCTCAGTACCCAAGCCATCCACCCATCCGTCATGCATACATACATGCATCCATCTATCCATCTATCCATCCATCATGCATACATCCCTCCATCTATCTACCCATCCTATTAAAAGATACGAATCTATCACGGTATACACAGAGTATCCTCGTATCACGTATCACGCATCACCCATCTACGCCCAGAAATCTCAAATCTAAAATTCTCAAGGGCTTATTTATAATTGTATAAATCCATAAACTTATTATATAGTATACGATACACAATTTCATATATATACACAAAATACAACTC